AGCTCGGTGAGGGATGTGAATCTGGGGGCGGCCGTAGTGAATCTGGGGGGCGGCCGTAGTGAATCTGGGGGCGGCCTTAGTGAATCTGGGGGCGGCCGTAGTGAAGCTCAGCGAAGGATGTGAATCTGGGGGCGGCCGTAGTGAATCTGGGGGCGGCCTTAGTGAATCTGGGGGGCGGCCGTAGTGAATCTGGGGGGCGGCCGTAGTGAACTGGGGGCGGCCGTAGTGAATCTGGGGGGCGGCCGTAGTGAACACGGCGAGGGATGTGAATCTGGGGGCGGCCTTAGTGAATCTGGGGGGCGGCCGTAGTGAATCACGGCGAGGGATGTGAATCTGAGGGGCGGCCTTAGTGAATCACAGCGAGGGATGTGAATCTGGGGCCGGCCGTAGTGAATCTGTGGGCGGCCTTAGTGAATCTGGAGGGGCGGCCTTAGTGAAGCTCGGCGAGGGAGTGTGAATCTGGGGGGCGGCCGTAGTGAATCACGGCGAGGGATGTGAATCTGGGGGGCGGCCTTAGTGAGGACAGACAGGTGGAGGAGAGCTCCAGCTTTGCTCAGGGAAGGACAGGAGGTTGGGACTGCCACTTGTGTCCAGTTAAAAGAAATACAAAATTATACAGTACATGGCAAGACCCATGAAAATGTCCACACTCTTATCCCACTCCCAGAAATTTCTCCCAAGGGAGTAAGTTAACAGAACCAACAAGAGATATACATGAATATAATATTTGCATCATTATCTAAACTATCCCCCAAAATGGAAGGATTTGAGTTGCCAGAATATGAGAGATATTTGTTGAATGCTGGTAGAGAAATTCAGCAGACGACTACAAGAGCTTTTAAAAGGATCCCTCAGAATGTTATGTGATCTCATGGCAAAATGGCTCTCGGAAGCATTGAAAAGGAAAGGGAAAAGACAAATTAGTATATACACTATGATTAAAAGCATATAAGATGGGTTTGCAGCGGGATAAATACTTGAGGGCAATACACAAGAAAGAAATTTAACCAAGGTGGGAAAATCATAGATAACTTTACTCCAAATATTTCTTAAATATTTTAGTTGCAAAGATATTATTTTTAAAATTTAAAAACAGCACAATCTAGCCCATAGATTATTTAAGTGGATTGATCATCTGAAGGATTATTGACCACAGTCATGAGGAAAAGGGACTCAGATGCTCCTGTCCAAACTGACTAGATGGAGTTCATCTCCCAGAAGCATAGGGTAAGGCTGTTGACCTCACTGGAGATACAGTAGGTATGGTGGTTGGAGGCTCAGGTCCCAAGTTACAGTTCTGGTTCCACCATCCACTCTGTTATGGTGTGATCTTGAAGAAGTTATTTAAGTTCTTGGAGCTCTGGTTCCTTATCTGCGATGACAGAATAACAGAGTTAAATAAACGCACTAGGGTTATTATAAAGTCAACTGAGATACTGCACAGCACGCAGCAACCTCTAAGTGTCAGCCACAGACTCAATAAATGACTTAAAGCCAAAAATATGGTGAATGGACAAAATGAGGGTGGGGGGAGGTTAAGGGTCTGAACAATGGGCAGGACTTAGAGAGTCTCCTGCTTAAAGATGAAGATGACTAGCTAATCTTCACGTGTGGGGTAAATAGGGGTAATACAAGCTCAGCAAATCTTGTGAACCCTGACTTCTCAAAGACCTGGGGCCAGTTCCCTGCCTTTGTCCAACTAACTGCATAACTTTAAGCAAATCCCTTAACCTTTCTGTCCATCAGTCCCCCGTTCTTTACTAGTGCATTCATTCATTTAATAAATCTTTAGCCGAACACTTGGCATGTGCAGCATACCATGCGAGTTGTTCTGGTGATTAAATTAGCCTCTAAGACAGTTGATAACTTAGTGACCAAGAGAACAGGTGCTGGAGTTAGAACTCCAAACTCTTGGATTTGAGCCCAAACTCTCTCCGTTACTAGATGTGTGACTTTGAGAAAAATACTGTCTGAGCTTTCATGTGCTCATCTGTAAAATGGAGAAAATAAAGGTTTCTATGTCATAGCATGATTGTGAATATCCAAGGGTTTCATGAATATTAAGTCTTTTAGCGTAGTGCCTAGTGGGGAGCCAGCACTGGTTCCCCAGCTCATGTGAAAACATCAGCAATTGTGAAAACAGACAGCCCCCTACGAACTCCCCAACTTACCCTGTAGGACCTTATAGTGGAGACTCTTCTCTACAAAGTGCTGAAACTGAGATACAAGTAATGTCTCACAAGAGCACTAGCAAAGGTTCTTTCTTCAAATATCTGAAGGCTGTCTGGTACAAAAGGGCTTTGACATTCTACAAGATATGAGATTTTAGCCAAGACCAATGAATGAAGACTTGTCCTACAGGCAGAGGAGGCCAGTGCTAAAGGGGGCTACCTAAATAGATGGTGAGTTCCCCATGACTGCAGGTGCTCAGAGACACTACACAGCATCCTTCTAAGATGTTGTAGATAACATCTGAGCATTGTCATGCTGAAATATATGACCCTTGAAAGTGAAAGTCGCTCAGCCGTGTCCAACTCTTTGCAACCCCATGGACTATACAGTCCATGGAATTCTCCAGGCCAGAATCCTGGAGTGGGTAGCCTTTCCTTTCTCCAGGGGATCTTTCCAACCCAGGGATCAAACCCAGGTCTCCCACATCGCAGGCAGATTCTTTACCAAGTGAGCCAAAAGGGAAGCCGAAAAATACTGGAGTGAGTAGCCTATCCCTTCTCCAGTGGATCTGCCTGACCCAGGAATCAAACCAGGGTCTCCTGCATGGCAGGTGGATTCTTTACCAGCTGAGCTAAGAAGGAAGCCCTAATATGAACCTTAAGGTCACTTTTCTTTAACTTTTTATTTTATATCAGAGTACAGTCAATTGACAACGTTGTGATCGTTTCAGGAGGACAACAAACTGACTCAGCCATACATATGCATGTATTAAGGTCACTTTTCATCCTGAGATTCCATGGGTAACTATTTCTGATCAGGAGGAGCAGAGAAGCTGCCATAAGCAGGGAGAACTTCAGTTGAGCTTGAAGGATCAGTGGGATTTTAATAGAATGCTTAGAAACATTTCCTGCAGGGGGTACTGTCTGTGGAAATGCACGGAGGCCTGGAGAACAGAGTACAGACAGCTGGGATGGAAGAACACAGGGCCCAGCTAAGAGGAGAGTAAAGTACAACATGCAACGTGGCCTGTGGCTGCCCCACTCCCCTCACAAAGCAAGTGCCAGAAGCTGACAATCTATGAAAAAGATTCTACAGTATCCCAGGGTGGTGGGTGGTGGTGGTGGTGGTGGTTTAGTTGCTAAGCAGTGTGTGACTCTTGTGACCCTATGGATTGTAGCCCGCCAGCCTCCTCTGTCCATGGGGGTTTCTCAAACAAAACTACTGGAGTGGGTTGCCATTTCCTTCTCCAGCAGATCTTCCCACCCCAGGGATTGAACCTATATCTCCTGAACTGCAAATTGACTCTACTGCTGAGGCACCAGGGAAGCCTACGGAATCCCAAAGTAGGATCCAATGGGGCAATATCATCACACACACACAGTCACATCATTGCCTGACACTCTAAATCCACAGCCCACCATGGTGATCACTAGACATAGGCTTGGGGCAGTCCCTGACTGAGCCCACTGCTGGGGGGCTGCATAGTTTATTTCAGGCTGGGGTTTCAGTCCAGGGAATACAAAGAGAACTAGGACATAGCAACTGATCCAACCCTACTCTGAAGAAAGACCCAGGGCACACCTGGGGTCAGGGCCTCACCCAGGACCCAGAGCACAGGGAAATGTGGGAAATACATGGAATCTGGGGTCAGGAGACCTAGATTCAAGTCCCAGCCGGCCACTCCCTCCATATAGCATCCAACAAATTATTTGACCCCTCTGAGGCCCATGTGCATGCTAAATCTCTTCAATCATGTCTGACTCTTTGCGACCCTGTGGACCATAGCTTGCCAGACTCCTCTGTCCTTGGGATTCTCCAGACAAGAATGCTGAGCCGGGTTGCCGTGCCCTCCTCCAGGGAATCTTCCCAAGCCAGGGATTGAACCCGAGTCTCTTATGCTTCCTGTAATGGCCAACGGATCATCCATAAAGTGCAGACCCTAACTCTCCCAGTTGATTCAAGAGGGACTGAATGAAAAGTGCTTTACTAAATTACATAAAGGCCAATTGTTTCTATATTAACATCTCTTTCTTGGCTGTGCCACAGGCTCCAGCCTGAACCTATGGCTAAAGAAAATCAGACTCTGCCTGAATTCCTCCTCCTGGGATTCTCCGATCTCAGGGCCCTGCAAGGCCCCCTGTTCTGGGGGGTGTTGCTGGCCTACCTGGGGGCCTTGCTGGGTAATTGTCTGATCATCCTCCTCACACGGGCCAGCCCCACCCTGCACTCTCCCATGTACTTCTTCCTGCACCACCTCTCCCTGGTGGAGCTGCTCTACACCACCGACGTCGTGCCCAGGACACTGGCTGACCTGGCCTTCCCACGCCCCCGTGCCATCTCCTTCTGGGGCTGTGCAGCCCGGATGGATGTCTTCATTGTCCTGGGCACCTCAGAGTGCTGCCTGCTCACAGCCACGGCCTGTGACCGCTACGCTGCCACCTGCCAGCCCTACACTGCTCCACCCTCACGAGCTGGCGGGCCTGCGCGGCCATGGTGGGCATTTCCTGGCTCATGGGCATCATCACAGCCACCACCCACTCCTCCCTCATCTTCACCCTGCCTCTCCCCAGCCGCCCAGCCATCCCGCACTTCCTCTGCGACATTCTGCCAGTGCTGAGATCGGCAAGCGCTGGGAAGCACCGGAGCGAGGTCTCTGTGGTGATGGCCACCGTGGTCTTCATCATGGCCCCCTTCTCTCCGAATGTCACCTCTTATGCCCGCAACCTGAGTGCCATCCTGGCAATGGCCTCCGCCCTGAGCCGCCGAAAGGCCTTCTCCACTTGTGCTTCCCACCTGCTCACGGTCTTCCTCTTCTTTGGAACGGCCAGCATCACCTACGTCCAGCCCCGGGCAGGCTCCTCTGTCACCATGGACCGCATCCTCAGCCTGTTCTACACGGTCATCACACCCATGCTGAACCCCATCATCTACACCCTTCGGAACAAGGAGGTGACCAAAGCCCTGTGGCATGTGGTGAAGAGGCAGGTCCCCTCACCCTGAAAAGACTCAGGGGCTGTCTGCTCACTCACTCACTGCTGCTCCTCCCAGCCCCCAGATGCTAGTTTAAAACCCAGCTGACCAGAAACCATGAGTGTGTGTGTGTGTGTGTGTGTGTGTGTGTGTGCGATCACACTCAATCAGTCATGTCCAACTCTTTGCAACCCCATGGACTGTAGCCTGCCAGGCTCATCTGTTCGTGGAATTTTCCAGTCAAGAATACTATAGTGGGTTGCCATTTCCTCCTCCAGGAGATCTTCCCAACCCAAGGAATAAATTCACGTCTCTTGTGTCTCCTGAATTGGCAGATAGGTTCTTTATCACTGCACCACCTGAAAAGCCCCATGCAGCATCTCAAAGGGATTAGGCTTCCTGGCAGAAAGGGTCGAAATTAAAACAGAGAAATCTCAAACTTACCTCCTCTCCTACACCCCAGACTCACTCTCAAAGAATGAGTTATTAGAGCAAGGCAAAATGTTGACTATGGGGAAGAATACTGAACATCTTCTAGCTTGTTCTGGATCCCTGAGCAAGGTGATTGTCATGGCTATACCAGTCATCAGAGGTCCATGTCAGTCATGAAGGCACATGTCTATGAAGGTGACATCCAACTAAGTGACCCACCTAGAGGCCACGGAGTTTACCTTGCCTTCATCTCCTTTCTCCCAGAAACACGCTGCAATCTTATGCCTTGGATGCCTTTTAGAAGAGAGGGAACTCTTGTCCCCTTGAAATATTCCACAGGAATGCTCCTCCCTGCTTGTCCCATCCTTGATTTCTGACGTGGTCCTTAACTGGTGATGACACGTCCAACTGTCAAGAGCATCTCCCCAGTGTCCCCTGTTTGTCCCCCAGCCTGTGCCATCAGCGCGATCCCGGACCTCCTTCTCCGGCAACTCAGACCATACGAAGCTCTGAGGCCACACTGGATGGGAATTGGAAAGTGGACACTTAACAGTCACTGTGGCCATCCAGCATTGGACCCTCCTTCATTGTTAGAAGAATTCTTCACTTTAGAAGTCTGGTGGGGAGAAAACCTATCTCCTTCTGAGAGCTGAGAATAGTTCTTAACCCGCAACCCAGGCACATGACCCATTTCCACCAGCTGGAGGCACCATTGCCTAACTTTGACCGAGGCTCCAGTGCCTGCAAAAGGCAGAGAGCAGCCCCTCTCTCTGACAACAGCTGCAGCTGAAGAAGCAAGTTCCTGCTGTAGACGTGGCATCTGGTCCCTCGACATCAATGGTTTCCTCGATGGACCAGCTCATGTTTGGGAGTTACTCCTGGTTGAGGGACTGATGCTGAAGCTAAAACTCCAGTACTTTGGACACCTCATGCGAAGAGTTGAGTTGACTCACTGGAAAAGACCCTGATGCTGGGAGGGATTGGGGGCAGGAGGAGAGGGGGATGACAGAGGATGAGATGGCTGGATGGCATCACCGACTCAATGGACATGAGTTTGAGTAAACTCCAGCAGTTGGCGATGAACAGGGAGGCCTGGCGTGCTGCGATTCATGGGGTTGCAAAGAGTCGGACACGACTGAGCGACTGAACTGAACTGAACTGAACTGAAAGATTGATTTACTCTTTGGAGGTGTTTCTGGAAGGCTTCCTGGAATAAGTGACTTGATGTAGTGTTTCCAACCTTCCTCACATCATGGCACACATAGAAAGTGCTCATATTTCAGGGCAAACTGAAGGGGATTTGGAGGCATCTAGAAAGGACTTGCCCTTGGAGGCGGGCATGGCAACCCACTCCCATATTTTTGCCTGGAGAATCCATGGACAGAGGAGCCCGGCTGTGGGCTGCAGTGGGCTGCAGTCCATAGGGTCGCACAGAGTCGGACAGGACTGAAGCATTTAGCACACACACAGAAAGGACTTGATGGAAAAAAAATTCAATGCACCTTCTTTTTACTATATAATTATTGGGAAAATAAAATATATAATAATATGGAAGTTTTTAATACAGGTTTTACATAAGGCTTCCAAATAAAATATTTAAATGTTTATAAGGAGCTTGCTTCTGTGAACATAATTTTTATATTAGGTTTTGTGCTTGAAAAATGACTAAACACCTCCTGATTAAAATTTTTTATTTATTTTTAATTGAACTATAGTTGATTTCTTGATCAAGCCTTTAGAGTATTAATTTCTTAAAATAACTATGTTCATCATAAATGAAAACTGCTCACAGAAGTGGATGATAAAAAAATGTAAAACCTTTTTCAAAGCCATTCAAAATTTTGCAATAGTTGAAATTATACCTAATTATATATTTATATTTACTATCTCTTTCTTTTCTTTTATTTACAGGGTAATCTTGAAAATCCTCGTTGATAATGAAAAAGAATTTCATATCCAATCATACTTTTCATGCACACTGATCATACGTGCATTGTTAGCACACCCTCTGTGAAGACACCTAGATACCACAAGAGGGCACATCACAGGGAAGAGACAGAAGAGCCAGGACCGCTGTGGATGGCTGGACTCTCGGGAAGCCCCTTGAACTTCCCACCCTTCTACCCCGAGGGCCACACCGTGGGCTGTGCACTGCGTTCTGTGGTCACACGGGAAGCCCACCTCCTCCACAAGTCCCTCATCCACAGTGGGTGGCAGGCCAGGCAGGAACTGGCTGCAGGGAGCAGGCATGAAGGTGGCAGAGCCCTCCAGCTGCCCCGCAGCATCTGTGATCTTCCCAGATGAGGAATCAAACCCATACCCCCAGCACTGGACCACCAGGGAAGTCCTTCATCTTTGAACCTCACACATTATCCAGTTTGCCCTCAAGGTTTTCATAGCAGTAGACCATTAAATGGGCTTTCCTGATATCTCATGGGGTCGCAAAGAGTCGGACATGACTGAGCAACTGAACTGAACTGAACTGAACTGATAGCTCAGTTGGTAAAGAACCCGCCTGCAATGTAGGAGACCCTGGTTCAATTCCTGGGTCAGGAAGATCCCCTGGAGAAGGGATAGGCTACCCACTCCAGTATTCCTGGGCTTCCCTTGTGGCCCAGCTGGTAAAGAATCTGCTCGCAATGCGGGATTAAATAAAAACTGCTCACAGAAGTGGATGATAAAAAAATGTAAAACCTTTTTCAAAGTCATTCAAAATTTTGCAATAGTTGAAATTATACCTAAATATATATTTACATTTACTAGCTCTTTCTTTTCTTTTATTTACAAGGGTAATCTTGAAAATCCTCATTAATAATGGAAAAGAATTTCATATCCAATCATACTTTCATGCACACTGAACATTTTCTTCCTTGATGTCAGTGTCTTGTGTTTAATCAGCAAGAAATCTAAATCTTTTCCCAGTGTGTTTCTGTGACTTACTCCTCCTCACTAACTGGGTGGCACTGAAGTTATCTATTGCCACCTAACAAAGCACCCTAAATCTAGTGGCATAAAGCAACAGGCAGTTTATTCTGCTCGTAATCTCTGTACTCTAGGAGTTTAGAGAGAGCGCACCAAGGATGTCTCTCCTCTGCTGCTCCGTGTCTCTGTCATCAGCCAGAAGAGCTTCAGTAGCTAGAAGGGACTTGAGCGGTTGAGGACCGTCATCTAACAGCTCTTCGTTCACTTGTCATGTGCCAGCAATGACTGGGGTTTATTCACCTACACGTGACCTCTCTATGAGCCTTGGGTTTCTCACAGCATAGCTGCTGGTTTCCAAGAAGGAGCATTCCAAGAGAAAACATCCCAAACCGGAAGCCAAGACAAAAGCTGTGAGGCTTCTGTTGTCCTAACCCTGGAAGTCACACACCATCATTTCCACCACCGGTCACAAGAGGGTCACCAAGGCAGGCCCACATTCAAGAGTCGGAGGTAGAGCCCACCTTCCGATCCAGGAGAATTACATGGCCACATTGCCCTGCGTGGAGCGGTGAGCGGCTTCTTCTCTGGTGCTTCCAGTGGCCAAGACTCCAAGCTCTCAATGAAGGACGCCTGGGTTCAATCCCTCATCTGGGAAATAGATCCCACATGACTCACATGGCAACTAAGAGTCTGCATGTCACAACTAAAGATCCCACATCCTAACAAGGAAGATCGGAGATCCCATGTGCTGCAATAGAGGCCCAGCCCAGCCAAATAAATCAAGTAAATAATGTTTAAAGTGCATATGGGGATTTATTTGGTAGTTCAGTGGTTAAGACTCCCCACTTCTACTGCAGGGGACATAGATCCCATACCTGGTCAGGGAACTAGGATCCCAATATGCCACACATCGTGACAGAAAATTTTTTTTAAAAAGCAAAAGTGCATGTGGAATGGGAGAGATTGCTGCTGCAATGTTTGGGACATCTTATCTGTTAGAGACAGATTATCAAGTAATCTGAGAACCTATGTGCGCGTGGTGAGGCATGTCTGACTTTTGGCGACACCATGGACTGCAGCCCGCCAGGCTCCTCTGTCCGTGGGATTCTCCAGGCAAGAATACTGGGGTGGGTTGCCATGCCCTCCTCCAGGGGACGTTTCCAACCCAGAGATCATACGCAGGTCTCCGTCATCGCAGGCAGATTCTTCACCGCCTGAGCCACCAGGGAAGCCCATGAATACCGGAGCCGGTTGCCATGCCCTCCTCCAGGGGGTCATCCCGACCCAGGGATTTAACCCATGTCTCTTACGTCTCCTGCATTTGCAGGCGGGTTCTTTACCACTAGGGCCACCTGGGACGCCCCCAAGAGCCTATGAAAGTGAAAGCGAAAGTCGCTCAGTCGTGTCCGACTCTTTGCAACCCCATGGACTATACAGTCCATGGAATTCTCCAGGCCAGATATTGGAGTGGGTAGCCGCTCCCTTCTCCAGGGGATCTTCCCAACCCAGGGATGGAACCCAGGTCTCCCGCATTGCAGGCAGATTCTTTACCAGCTGAGCCACAAGGGAAGCCCCCAAGAGCCTATATTTCATGCCAAATCTGTTCCTCATAATGAATGACTTTTTATTTTAGTACAATCTGAAATTTCTACTATAACTGCTTCTCATATAAGAATAATTCCACCCTTCATCTTTGTTCGTATCCATGAACACAAACATTTTATTACTGCTGTTTTCATCTAGGTTTTCTCCCATGTCCTTTACAAACATGTGCATTCACGTCAGTGAAGAGTGTTTCATTTCTTACTTTTTCATTAAACACTCAAAACATGTCTTCAAATTTCAATTAAAATGAAATATTTGAATTGAATCAAATCTCCCATTCCTACTTTTTTAATAAATGTTGGGTTTATAACCATACATGTTCCTGCATTATCAAATACATTTCTGATAGAGGAGAACTTTTTTCACTTAGAGGATGAAAATAAAATCCTGCTCATAACATTATGCTTGTGATGACTTGAGCGTTTTTTGCCATGTTCTAACTCCTTTATCCATATATGTCTAACCTTTTTTCTCCTCCATTTCCTGTATATTTTCAGTGCCAGGCACATTCAGACACATTTTTATCATAACACAACATCTGGAACTTCAATCTGGGTTGAAATGCTAAGTGATATGACACTATGGATAGAAGGCACATTCCTGGAAGCCATTCCTGCATCAGGACAACTACCAATAACTTAAGTATACTCAAAAGCAACTGTGAACAACATAAACCCAAACACTTTCATCCTACCAAACTCAATCTATCCCCAACTCAACTTTGTCTTAGATCAAAAATTATCCATTGACATTTCAACAGTACATATCACAAGGGGAAACTGGGCTGAGGAAGAGACTGGGCTGTGTCTCTCTCATACAGGAGAGAGAGAGAAGTCACAACAGATTAAATAAAATTAAATTAAAAAAAAAAAGTTACGGAACTTTCCTGGTGATCCAATGGCTAAGACTCTGTGCTTCCAACACAGGGGACCCAGGTTCAATCTCTGTTCAGGGAACTAGATCCCACATGCTGCAGCTAAGACTGGGCACAGCCAAATAAATAAATACTTAAAAAAAGAAGAAGAAGTTACAACAGATTGCAGTTAAAATATATCACTATGCAATTTCTGTAAAAATATATGAGCAGAGGAACACAATTGCTAGAATTTTCTGATCCTTTTAAGGAGTCCACGCAAGTGAATGTTAAGCATCACAGTAAATCTACCTCCAAGTTTAAGCTTCACAGTGTATCCTCCTCTAAGTAGACACTGTTGTTATACCAATTGCCCAAGATGAGGAAACAAAACTCAGAGATGTTGAACAATTTTCCCTAGGTAACACAGCTAGAGAATAACACACTTGAGCTTTCAACACTAGAGCCCATATTTTTACTCTGTACAGAATTAGTTCTCCTTCTGATAATTCGAGTTTAGAGAAAGTAGGAAGACGGAAACAGACAGGAGGGGAGATGTCTGGCAGTACAGTAGTTAGGATCACTGCCCTGGCACTGCTTTGATCCAGATTCAGTGTGTTTTCTTTGGGCAGGGATAGAAATTCACCTTTCTTGCCTTGCCTCAGAGTTACACCAACTCTAGTCGTGTGCCATCACTTAATCCCCAGGCATCTTGATCATCCCACCACCCTATAGGACACCATATGCCCCATCATATTCGTGAGACTATGCTGACAGCACCTGAAAGAAGCAAATGGTAGGCATGGTAGATATACATTCACATCAGAGAGCAGGAGATAAGTCCCATCAAATGCAGAGACGTGTCTCTCGGTGAAGACTGTCTGGGGACATCAAGGGTTAGTCACTTGGTCATGTCCGATTCTTTGTGACTCCATGGAGCATAGCCCACCAGTCTCCTCTGTCCACGGGGCTTCTCCAGGCAAGAATACTGGGATGGGTTGCCATTTCTTCCTCCAGGGGATCTTCCCAACCCAGGGACTGCACCCGGGTCTTTCACATCGCAGGCAGATTCTTTACTGTCTGAGCCGCCAGGGAAGCCACTATGGGAACGTCAAGACATCTCCTCAAACACTAAGGACAATCTGCCTTACCCTTTTCTCTTTACAGTAAGAAAAAGACCTCCTGAGGATCTTGGACTGGGGAAACAACACATAGTTCAGATGGATGTTCTGCTTCAAACTATTTAGCAGATATCTTACAGTCAGAGCATGAAAAGGATCTCTAGCTGGTGCAGGCCACAGTTCTGCCATTGGACCTTCTGAACTACTCAGCAGACCCTAAGAAGCTCCATGGCAGTGGCACTGGAAACTGTGGTAAGTCCAAGAGGCAAACCCACATTTGAGAACTAAACCCAGGTTTTGAGAACCAAGGCTTGCCCTTTGGAGCAAATAATTATCTTATTGCAAAATAGTTTTCAAGCTCCTTATACACAAAAGTGAATACTGAACACCTGACCACTGGACAATGAGTGACTCTTGAACGGCAAGCTCAGAATCGATTGGATGCAACTGTCATCCAAGACAAGGAGCCTCTCAGAGACTTAGACAAAACAGCTAAACGTACTGTGGAATCTTGGAAGAGATAAAAGTACATTAGGCAAAAACTAATGAAATCTGAATAAGGTGTCCATCTTAGGTATAAAGTATCAGTATTTGTTCACTAATTCTGACAAGTGTATCATACTAATTTAAGATGTTAAAAATACAGGTAACCAGATTTGGAGTATATGAGAATCATGTGTATTATTTAGCCGCATCCTGACTCTTAGTCCATTTCCTTGCCCTGGAAACTCAACTGCTCTCAACTGGACCATAAAACAACAAAAATTCTCTTATTTGGCAATAAGTTTTGAAAACTCAAAAAAATGTGCCTATATTTTGACTCAACAATTCTATTTCTAGAAGTTTATGATCAGAAGAACATAAAAATACACAAGTATAATGACACCTATTCGGCAATCAGTTCAGTTCATTTCAGTTCAGTCGCTCAGTAGTGTCCAGCTCTTAGCCACCCCATGGACTGCAGCACGCCAGGCCTCCCTGTCCATCACTAACTCCCGGAGTTTACTCAAACTCACGTCCATTGGGTCAATGATGCCATCCAACCATCTCATCCTCTGTCATCCCCTCCTCCTCTCATCTTCAATTTTTCCCAGCATCAGAGTCTTTCCAAATGAGTCAGGTCTTCGCATCACGTGGCCAAAGTATTGGAGTTTCAGCTTCAACATCAGTCCTTCCAGTGAATATTCAGGGCTGATTTCCTTTAGGATGGACAGGTTGGATCTCCTTGCAGTCCAAGGGACTCTCAAGAGTCCTCTCCAACACCACAGTTCAAAAGCATCAATTCTTCGGCGATCAGCTTTCTTTATTATAACAAAAAAATTAAAACTATTCTCTGCCTTGTTTCCACCCAAGTCAGACTTCCCACCTGGAGTAAAGGCGTTCATGTGGAAACAGAGGCAACAGACAAGAAAGAAAAAGGTTTGCAGTGAGGAGTCTGGGAGGAAGAAAGCACCGTCTCCAGAAATCGTAGCTCCAGGAAGAGCCCTAAGCCTCAGGAAAGACCAGAAGTGCTCAAACGTGGACGAGACGGGCAGTCACCTTCACGCCTCAGCCTCTGCCCAGGGCAGAGGCTGTCTCTCCAGCTTTGCACCTAAAACAGGCCAGATTAGGGCCCAAAGAGCAGGCTGCGGAGGGCGAGCTCTGAGCAGCAGTGCCCTCGAGCTGGGCAGGCTAGGGGCCCCGACACACCGCTCGGGGCCAGGGCTTCTTTCTCACTTGAAAGTCTCCAAGAATCAGGCCCTCCAACAACGAGAGGGGGTCAAGGCCTCCAGAGGTATTTCTTCACAAGCCGCCTCATTGCCCCTGTGACCTCCTCGTTCCTCAGAGTGTAGACGAAAGGGTTGAACATTGGCGTGACAACCGCGTAGAAGAGGGCAAGGATCTGGTCCCTGGCCTGGGAGGAGCCTGTCCCCAGCCTCATGTAGGCAACAATCCCCGTCCCAAAAAAGAGCGTGACCACAAGCAGGTGGGAGGAACAGGTAGAGAAGACTTTTCGACGTCCCTGGGATGTCGCGACGCCAAGGATGGTGACAAGAATACAGGCATAGGACACTATGATCAGTGAGAAGGGTGTTAGGATAAAGGCTATGGTGACGGCAAGATTGGCCACTTCACCCCAAAAGGTGCTGGCGCTGGCCAGGCTCAGCACGGGAAGGATGTCACACAGGAAGTGGTGGATGGTGTTGGCACCGTGGAAGGGCAACGTGCAGATGAGGATGCAGTAAGTGGTGCTGGTGATGATGCCCATGAGGTAGCTGGCGCCCAGCAGGCACACACAGGCTCCCGGGCTCATCAGGGTGCTATAATGCAGCGGCCGGCAGATGGCAGCGTAGCGGTCATAGGCCATGGCAGTGAGCAGGCCACATTCCGCAATGCCAAACAGGGAGAAGAAAGACAGCTGGGTAAAGCAGCTGGCTGGTGGGATGGTGGGGCAGGAGGAGAGGAGGTCGGTCAGCATCCTGGGGACCACGGTCGTGGTGTAGAGCATCTCCAGCCCGGAGAAGTGGCGCAGGAAGAAGTACATGGGCGAGTGCAGGGCAGCGTCCGCCAGGGTGAGGAGGATGATCAGCGAGTTGCCCAGCAGAGTGACCAGGTAGACCAGAAGCACCCCCCAGAACAGAGGGCCCCGAAGGGAACGGTAGCCTGAGAACCCCAGCAAAACAAACTCAGTCACTGCTGTGCCATTGCCCCCTCTCATGGCCCCAAGGCCAGACTGGAAGGGGGAGCGGAGGGGGCAGCCTGGCAACGACAGAGGCTCAAGCCGCAGCAGGGAAGGCATGCGGGTAGGCCCACAAGACCCTCCCAGGGGGCAGGAGTGGATCTATCAGCACCTGGGCGCTGGCATCGCCCCTCAGAAGGACAGAAACCAGGGGAGCTGAGGCGGTCCCTCCTGGAGGCTGGAACTGGAGAGACACAGAGGATTGGCCCCCCCACCGAGTTCTGGAGGATGCGGGCAGGAAGCAGGGTGCACAGGCAGAATGAATGAAGCTGGCAGAAGGAGACTGGGGGAAAAATGGATCTAGCAGGAGGCAGGGCTGGAGTGAGAGCAAGAGCTGGAGAGAGAAAGAGAAGACGCAGGAGCAAGGCTTCAGAGAGAAGGCAGGTGGGGCTTCTACCTTCTCCCGAATCCCCACGGCCCCAGGTCGGCCCTCCCTGATGCCCGGAGGGAAGCTCAGTCCCCCAGAGCCTGATTCCCAGAGGAGAGGTGGGGGTGGAAACTATCAGCAGAAGCTGAAGAAGGGGAGAGGGTTCTGTCTGATGATGGGGAACAAGGAAGCAGCGGCTCAGCCTCTAATTCCCTGCAGTCGGGCCTGGGGGCTGCAGTCCACACCCCAAGGACAAAACAGATGCCACAAGGCCAGAGCCTGGGTTGTGTCCAGGGCCCCTCAGCCAGGCCTGAACGTAGCCGGGTTCAGAAATCTCGTGTTCCAGCTCCCCACCAGTGTCCACCTGCTGAGCTGCCCAGCTCACTGCCCCAGGGGCTGCCCTCTGCCTACGCCTACAGTGAGTGCCCAAGCTTCTTCTTTCCAGTGCCTAGAAACCAGGACAGCACTTTCTCAAAATCCTTTTGTAAGACTGTGCTAATCCTCAAAGAAAGGAAACTGCTAAAATAGAAACAAGTCTGACTTCTGGATGAACTTCCCAACCCACCCCAGGCATCAACTTGCTCCCCAGCTACTGAGGAAGATGTTAGAAAGAGGAAACAGATCTCAGCTAGAATAAATTATGTCACCAACATTGGGGGAGGGAGGTAACACAGTGACCAGAGAGGATGCCTCAAACCCTAACGGCTCAAAGAATAAGGACCAGAGAGAAATTCCAGTCCTTGGAAAGACATGTATCACACAACCAAGAAAGAAGTTTTCTTTGCCACTGGTTCATCTCCTGTTTAGAGTTGTGTGTATGTGTGTGTGTGTGCGCGCGCGCGCGCTCAGTTATTCAGTCGTGACTGACTTTTATACCTCCATGGACTATGGACGTCCAGCCTTCTCTGTCCAGGGTATTTTCCAGGCAAGAATACTGGACTAGGTTGTGATCTCCCACTCCATGGTGATAGCTTACAATGAACAATGTCGGATTGGTGATCTCCGAAGAAGATTTAGCTTCAGGACCAGGGACCAGACTTGATCACTCAAGAGCTTTTGTGTAGCAGAGTTTTATTAAAGTATAAAGAGGGACAGAGAAAGCTTCTGACAGACATCAGAAGGGGGATGGAGAGCGCCCCTCTTGCTAGTCTTAGCAAGGGAGCTATATAGTTTTTCAATTGGTTATTACAGTAAATCAGAAGAATGTCTCAAGTTTGTAAAGGTCTTACCAGACCCACTCCCACAATATACATTTTAAGCTAACAGGATTAGTCAGAAGGTTCTCAAGAAAGAGAAACATGTCCTCCAGCAGGATACATTGTTGTTATATAATCCTTAGTACAGAGTTTAAACGGAGTTGTTTTGTTGTATAATCTTTAACTCTAGGCTTAAAGAAGAAGAAAAAAAAAATTTATGTGACTAAGACTGAGGAATGCAGAAAAAATTTTTCGCCCTTTCCTCCTCCTCAAGAGCCCCAGACCCCTTTCTCCTCCTCCAGGACCCCGGACTTCTCATCAACCTAAGAACTGATTGTCTCAGTGATAGCTCAGCTGGTAAAGAATCCCCCTGCAATGCAGGAGACCCCAGTTCAATTCCTAGGTCAGGAAGATCCCCTGGAAAAGGAAATGGCAACCCACTCTAGTCTTCTTGCCCGGAGAATCCCCATGGACACAGGAGCCTGGTGGGCTGCAGTCCATAGGGTCACAAAGAATCAGACACTACTGAGGGACTCAGCACAGCACAGCAGAGTTCTGTGAAATCCTCCTAATCCAAGGCAGTCTTGTTTATTTGGTTTTTTCTATTTTAGGTTGCAATATGTTTATTTATTAAAAATTCAGGGTTTCCCTAGTGGCATAGAAGATAAGAATCGCCTGCCAATGCAGGGGACATAGGTTCAATCCCTGGTCTGGGAAGATCCCACATGCTGTGGAGCAGCTAAGCCTGTGCCCCACAAATACTGAGCCTGAGTGTATTCCAGCTCCTGAAGTCCATGTGCCGAGAGCCTGTGCTCCTCAACAAGACAGGCCACTGCAAAGAGAAGCCCTCAGACCAAAAAGAGCAGCCCCTGTCACCGAAAATAGAGAAAGCTGAGCAAACCAAACCAGGACAGCCAAAAAAAAATTAAAAATAATTTTTGTAAAAAAAAATAAAAGATAATTTTTTTTTTTTTTTAAAGTTCAAGACTTCCTTGGTGGTCCCAGGGCTAAGAGTCTGCCTTGCAATGCTGAAAACTCGATCCCTGGTAGGGGAACTAAGGTCCCAATGCCATGCAGTGAGACCAAAATATATTTTTTAAAAAAAATTCAAACAACTTAAGTAGATAGTCCACCCTCAAAGAAGGGAAGCATATCTTTACGTGTGGGCTGTACATAGAGCTTTCTGGAAAGAAGCAGTAAAAACAGTAACTTTACAGAGTAGCCTGAAAAACACCACTTCATGATAAAGGTCAACATCAGTAGTGGAAATCAGGTGATAGTGTGCACCTTTGATATGATGTGATGTGAAAGACGCGTCACCTCTTGGCTTTCCTCCTAAAACCGATAATTCCAGTCTCTTCATCAGAAAATTTCAATACAGGAACAGACTACAAAATATCTCACCAGTGCTCCTCAAAGCTGTCAAGGTCATCCAAACCCTCTGAGGTCATCCAAAGCAAGGGGCCTCTGAGAAACCAAGGGGACATAATAGCTAAGTGCACTGTGGTATCCTGGAAGAGACAAAAGGACATTAGGCAAAAACTAAAGACATCTAAATAAAACATGGATCTTAGGTAATAATAATGTATCACAGTTAGTTTATCAACTATGACAAATGTATCATACTAATTTAAGATGTTACTAGCTCTCGGCCTTGGCGCCATCTTTTGAGAAACCTCTGCACCATGAGAGCGAAGTGGAGGAAGAAGCGAATGCGCAGGCTGAAGCGCAAAAGAAGAAAGATGAGGCAGAGGTCCAAGTAAACTTGTACACCCATGGAAGCCACAGAAGCAGAAACAAGGGAAGCCAGAGGCCAGGGATGCTGGTACAAATTGTGGACTGCATGCCTACTATCTAGAACTTCTCAATGGATCTGGAACATCTATGGCCATTCTGATTGCCTTGACCACCTTTGAGAGACCTACCTTGCTCGTATCAAAGCCGTCCCTTTTGGTCCTTTGCCCTGGACCTGTGATAACTATGGACTGGTTCTCTTCTCAGTTGTGGCTGAATGTAACGTGTACAATAATCATCTCTTTTGCTGTCTTAGCTGAAGAAAAAAAAAAAAAAAGATGTTACTAATACTGGAAACCAGAAGTGGGGTGTATGAGATTGCAATTTTTCTGTCAATCTAAAACTTTGCAATTTTTCTGTCAATTATCTTTGTATTTTTCTGTTAACCTAAAACTATTCTAAAAGAAAATTTTTGTTTTCAAAAGTTGATTTATTGACACGGAAAAATATCCACAATGTATTATTACCTGATAAAAAGCAAAGTAAAAAACAGCAAATTGTCCATATAAAATACATATTCAGGTAAATAAATAGAGAGATAGTTAAGGTAGACATACACCAAAGTATTAGCAATGATACGCTTTGGATGAAATGCACTTGGAGCGCATAATTTACATAACTTTTGCTTGTGATTTTTTTTAAGTGTGTTTTTGACCCACTGATGACACAATAATAAAAACCATATATGAAACATTAGAAGAAAAAGATGGAATTCGTTTTAATGTATTTTGGTATTATTAAGTATCTGATTTATTTTCAAGCATTTATACCTACTTATGCCTTTGGAAATGTTCCTTTTTATCAATAGTTTAATTTTTTAGTCAACAAATGAGTGTTTCTGATTCTCAGTACACATTTTTCAAACATGGGTCATAGAAAGGCTGTGAATAGAACACTTAGGTTGTTTTCAGATTTATGATAGTGAGCATGTCTGCAATTTCCAATTTTAAAAAGTTACCAATAAAAAACAGAAAGGAGATGTTATAGAGTCCCATCAGTGGACCCCAAAAGGCAGATTTTTTTCTTGAGTAGCAGTTTAAACGTGGAGGCTGTTCAAATGACATCACGTCGCCCCCGTGTGGTCAGTCTCCAAACAGCACATTATACACGGTCCCCTCTGCGCTGTGTGGGTGACGAGACGGTGGAAGGAAGGTGCCTTGAAGATCTTCTTGTTCAAACTGCAGTCCCCAGAGGCGGAAACTGAGGTCTAGAAAAGCTCGTTTAGCTCACCCAAGATCGTTCAGTCGAGAGCAGAGCTGAGCTCCCCCGACGCCTCCGGTGGGCGTTTCCGTCCAGGCCCACGGGGAGGTAGGTGGTTTCTGCCAAAGCAGATTCCCACTCCCGGAATGCGCCCGCCTGCTCTTCCCCCGCCTGAGAACCTTTCTCCACTTCTCAGGTGTATGTCCCGTCCGCCCTTCCAAACCAAGCGCAGACACAGCTTCTCTGGGAAGCCTCTGCTGCTTCTCCCAGAAAAACGACACCCCTCACGGCCTCCCATGCTGTTTCATCTCAGAACCTAGGAACTTAAAACAAAAGGCGTTTTATAGCTCATGGTTTCTGAGTCAGACACCCGAGTGCGACTTAGCTCGGTGTCTGTGGCTCACAAAACTGCAGTCAAGGTG